GTGCCCTGCCCCCAGCGTGCCCGGCGTCATGACGTCACTTCCCTGTGACGTGCATGCGGGGACGGGGTTCCCCCTGGGGCCCGATTCTGCGGGGGCGGAAGTCGGGCCTCCAAAGCGGGGGGAAATCCGCCCCCCAGGGGGATTTGGCAGCCCTACCTGGCCACCACCCCTGGCTCCTCTCCATCTCCACCCCCTCCATGTTGTTGTACATCCGTAACGGTAGCCGAGTGAAGATAAGTCTGGGAAAGGGCCCCGATGCTGCACTGCCTAAACAGATGATCAGTGATGTATGGGGATGGTATCCAGTGGTGGTCTTCCTGAGCTGCGTCTTTGCAGGTGCCTGCTCACTGGTTGGACTTTCTCGGGCTCATCTTTTGTGTTGTCAGGTGAGTCTGGGACCAGGCTGGGTGCTGGGTATTTTTAAGGCCTTTGGTGCAACTTGAGATCTTTTTTGCCCCTAGCGTGTGACCCACACACACACACTGCTTACACTCCACACTCTTGGGGGCTTTCCATCTTTTCCCACACTCTTGGGGGCATCTTTTTCCTAATCGCATAAAATGAGCCTTGCTGGATCAGATCGGAGGTCCATCTAGTCCAGCATTTTGTTTCCCCCAGTGGCCAGCCAGACACCCCAAATTGCCCACAAGAACGGGCACAGAGGCCAGAGACTCCTTCTGTGGTTGCCCTCCCAACAGCTGGTATGCAGCAGTCAACGACCTGTGAACACAAGAGGTTCAGGTTGCTTGTTGTAGCAAATAGCCATTGATGGAGACATCTTCTGTGTATTTGTTTTGTACTTACCTAAAGCCACCTATGCTAGTGGCAATAAATACATTTTGCAGCAGTGAGTTCCATAAATTAATTATGTGTTATGTGAAGATGTTTTTCCTTCTGTCTGTCCTGAATCTACTGCCTGTCTACTTCATTGGGTGCCCAGAGATTGTAGGGTGGCCGGATCCACCTGACTGCCTGTGAGTCTGAAGAGTTCCTGTAGCTGTCATAGCAATTTGTCCAGTCTAGGGAGGGGCACAAACCCACAAATGAACTCTGGTTCGAGCATGAACCAGGCTGGTTTGTGGTTCCTGAACCAGGGGTTCGAGAGAACATGACTCCCACAAACTTCCATGGAGGTTCGTTAGGTTCAGGGAGGGTTTGTGTGTGCTCCAAAGGCATTTAAATACCTTTGGAGCCTGATCAGAAGTGAGCTCTGAAGGCCTATAAAGGCCTTTGGAGGTCACTCTTGGAGCTCAGTTGGGCTGGCCCGATCCGGAGGTGGACTCCAAAGGCATTTAAATGCCTATGGAGCTCACTTCTGGGTGGGTCAAACTCCCTGAAGCACAAACCACAAACTTTTTCACACAGTGGAAGAGTTCATCGACAGTTCGGGGCTCATGAAAACTCTGAACCACAAACCTCAATTTTCCTGGTCCGTGCCCATCCCTAGCCCAGTCTCTTTTTCATGCAGTGTAAGATCATGTGTGTGGTTTTGGATGTGGAAAGTGGGAGATGGAAATCTTCATCCCTAGGCACCTAAAGGCTCTGAATCTTCATCCATAGGCACCTAAAGGCTCTGAGTCTCATGACAGAAAAGAATGTCCTCTTGACTTAGGCATCTCAGAGTTCTGCTTGTGAGACATCTTCCCGTTGTATCTAGTCCATCCAACCATTTGGAAAATCACCAAGTATTCTCACAGAGAGTACCACTAAATGACATCTCAAAAGAACTTTAAAGCCCACCACAGGAAAAAGCTGGAAGGCAGATTACATGGATGTGGCATTTATGACTTATTTGATGATGTGGGAAGTGTTTGAGTGTCATATATCATGTTGAGGCAACGTTTAAGGACATATGGAGTGAGAGGCTGCCCTCACGACGACACTCATCGTTTATAAACTCATTCCCTCATCTTTTAGCTCTGCTTCCTTCAAATGGCAATTATTCACGTGCTTTTGTGGAGTTGTGGAGGAGAGAGGTAGAGCCCATGCTTTGTAGATGTAAGGTTCTGTCACCGACATTGCAGGGAGCATGTGTTAAGGAAGAGTCCTGCAAATCTGCTGCCAATCCAAGGAGACAGGACTGGGTTCAGGGGCAGTCTTAGTGATTCTGGGGCAAAAGTCCAGGAAGAGGCCACAGAATCACTGCCACCACCTCATCCCTACCAGGGCCAAGCAAAGAGTGGCCCTTGTCCTGTGTGAGGTAGGTGGGAGCCATCACTGCCGCAAGAAGCCAGCTGTATGGACCCCAGATCTTCTTTTCTTTCTTCTTCCTTTGAGTGGGTGAGGCTTTGTGTCAGTCTCTGGGTGTACCCACAGCTGATCCAGCGGCTGGAGTGGATCCAGAGTCAGGGAATCTCGGGTGTATGCGAAGCCTCAGACCACTGACCAGGGGACGCTGGTTACTTCACTGAGCCCCCTCCAGTTCCCAATCTCTATTTTGGAGCATCCAAGCGGAGCGGGCTCAGAGCCGCGCCCTACCTCCTCGCATCCGGCATCATAGGGATCAGATGTCTCCTCCTCAGCTATCGCTTAACATCTTTTTTATCCCATTCCCTCTGTCCGCTCCACCCCCTGGGCCTCAGAGCAGGTTAGCCATGGGGCTAAGGATGGGCCCCAGTTTGCATTTGTTAAACCTTCCCCACCCTTCTTCTTCCCTGCAGGAAGTGGTTTCCTGTCCCCCATGGTCCCCTTTTGCTATCAGGCTCCCACGGGCTGGTCTGCATGGGAGGATTCCAGGTCCCTCTGGGAAGCCCTGAAGGGAATCCCTGGCTCACTCCTGTCGGAAGATGGGAACTCCTGGGCCGTCTTTGTAGTGGGAAGTCCCCACGCTTGGCCCCTTCTGTTGCTGTCGGCCTTCCCTGAGCCGGGCCCATTCTCCCTGCCCGTCTGCGCTGCCTCCTCCCCTGTAGGGGCTACGTGTTTGGGAGGCAGGCGGGGTTGCTGGGGACGTCCCTCCTGACACTGTGGGCAATCGCATTCAAACGGAAGAGATCATGGTTGCCGTCAGATATTTCTGCGTCTGATCCCCTTGGCCACTCTTTGCCAGTGGGCTCCCAGATGGGGCAAACATGTGTGCCAAGTTCTGCAAGGCAATAAAAGACATAGCATAGCAAAGGCATTATCTGTTTGGAAGATCAATGACCATTGGTTTGCTTCTACAATTATCTAGAGCAGAGGTGTCAAACTCATTTGTTACAAGGGCCAGATCTGACATAAATGTCACTTCATCAGGCTGGACCATGTGTGCCAAAGAGCGTAATGCCAGGTACCAGAGATAGAAACTAGACATAGGTCAGCAGCTGGTAAGCTCCGAGTTGGTATATCCTCACTGCAAGGCCCCATGGGCTGGGAGGGGGTATGTGCAGAGGAAAACCCACACAGGCAGACTGGAGAAGCAGCAGTGCAGCACTGTGCAGATACTCCCACAATGCTTGAATGCTGCGGATGAGGTTGTTCTGCCATGCTAAAGCCACAATGGAGTGGCTCCGCCCACTCCCCCACCCCCGGCACTCCTTCCCTTGCATCAGTTGCTCGTGGGCTGCATAAGAGCCCTGGATGGGCTGGTTCCGGCCCCCGGGCCTTATGTTTGACACCCCTGATCTAGATGGTTGTTTCCTAGTACAAGGGGCGCAGGTGTCTGTGTGCATTAAGTGCCATCAAGTGTCTTCCGACTTAAGGTGACCCTATGAATTAATGACTTCCAAAAGATCCTATCGTTAAGTGCCTTGTCTCTTGCAGATGAAGGGCCGTGGCTTCCTTGATTGAGTCAGTCCCTCTCATGTTGGAGTTTCCTCTTTTCCTGCTTTCAACTTTTCCTAGCACGTTTGTTCTTCCCAGAGACTCTTGTCTTCTCATAATGTGACCAAAGTACAATAGCCTCAGTTTGGTCATTATAGCTTCTAGGGAGGGTTCAGTCTTGATTTGTTCTAGAACCCATTTATTTGTCCCTTTTGTCTCCTCAAAACCACATTTCAAATGAATCAACTTTCTTCCTTGCAGCTTTCTTCGTTGTCTGACTTTCCCCCACCCATGCATAGTAATGGGAAATACTGTAGCATGAATTATCTTGGTCACCAGTGACACGTTCTTACACTTCACTGGGTTACCATATTTTGAAAAGCAAAAAAGAGGACATATTTCCCGACTGACTACTTTAAACAACTGATCACTATGACAAATCCCATCTTAAGTGCCCCTGCTATTTAAGCTGAAGCGGGCCTCCACTGGGGAACTATAACTGATCACTATGACAAATCTCATCTTAAGTGCCCCTGCTATTTAAGCCGAAGCAGGCCTCCACTGGGGAACTATAAGAGGGCAGCCCTTCCAACCCAAAAGAGGACAGACACCAAAAAAAGAGGACATGTCCTCTAAAAAGAGAACATCTGGTAAAAAGGTAAAGGTAAAGGTTCCCTTGCTCGAAAGCCAGTCGAGTCCGACTCTAGGGTTGCGGAGCTCATCTCTGTTTCAAAGCCGAAGAGCCAGCGCTGTCCGAAGACATTTCCGTGGTCATGTGGCCTGCATGACTAAACACCGAGGCGCACGGAACGCTGTTACCTTCCCACCGAAGTGGTACCTACTTATCTACTTGCAATTTCTTGCTTTCAAACTGCTAGGTTGGCAGGAGCTGGAACTAGAGACGGGAGCTCACTCCGTCATGCGGCACACTCGGGTCTCGAACCGCTGAACTACTGACCTTCCACAGCCTGCAGTTCAGCGTCTTAACCACTTGAGTCACCGCAGCTCCTGAACATCTGGTAACGCTAGCTTAAAGATCTTTTCTAGTTCCTTCATGGCTGCCTCTCCTAGTCTCACTCTCCTTCTGATTTCTTGGTTGCAGTCTCCCTTTTGGTTCCAAGGAATAGAAAATCTGTCTACTGATTTTATTTAGCCTTTCCCTGCTGTCCTCTTACCCCTGTGGCCGCAGAGGAACAAGTTGCTTGTTAGCACTGGCTCTCCTTGGTCCGTTTCTTCTCTTGTTACTGTTGTTCTTCTTACAGGAGAACCCGTACCTGTGCAGCGATGAGTGTGACGCCTCCAACCCTGACCTGGCTCACCCACCAAAGCTGATGTTCGACCGAGAAGATGAAGGCCTGGCAACCTACTGGCAGAGCGTGACATGGAGTCGTTACCCAGAGCCCTTGTTGGCCAACATCACCCTATCTTGGAACAAGAGCATCGAGCTGACAGACGACATTGTAGTGACGTTTGAGTATGGCCGTCCCACTGTCATGATGCTGGAGAAGTCCTTAGACAATGGCAGGACTTGGCACCCCTATCAGTACTATGCGGATGACTGCATGGAAGCCTTTGGCATGCAAGCACGGCGGGTCAGGGAGCTCTCCGCCACCAGCGCCAACAGGATCATCTGCACAGAGGAATATTCCCGCTGGGCGGGCTCTAAGAAGGAGAAGAATGTTCGCTTTGAGGTGAGGGACCGTTTTGCCATTTTTGCTGGCCCGGATCTCAGAAACATGGACAACCTGTACACACGGCTGGAAAGTGCCAAGGGTCTGAAGGAGTTCTTCACTGTAACAGACTTGCGGCTGAGGCTCTTGAGGCCGGCGCTTGGGGGCACCTATGTGCAGAGGGAGAACTTGTACAAATACTTCTATGCTGTTTCCAACATCGAAATCACTGGCAGGTAACCTCCGCTCCATATTTTTGTCCGCACACTTCCTTGGAGGAGGGCTGGCTTGGGAGGCGGCACAGCATATGGAGTCAGTGACGGGCAGCTGACCGGTTAGTGGGCCAGCCTTATATTAGGAAAAGACAGACATCCGATGGGTGCAAGAGATACATTTATTCATGCAGATGTAAGTGTGTTTCTGAGCAAATACTTCTTCATCAGAAGACTGGCATAAAAACAGGAAAATGAAGAGCTTGTTGCTCCAAATGTAGGTGGTATTTATAACCATGCAATCCTAAGCAGACTCATGCCCTTCTAAACCCATTGACTTGAAATAGACTTAGAAGGGTGCAACTGTGTTTGCAATCACCCTGGTCGTCATCTGTATGAATAAATGTGTTCCCTATGCCTGCTGGATTTCTTTTCCTGTTCTGTGGTCCCGCCTCTATGATATTGTTTGATACAATCTCATCTCTCTCTCTCTCTCCTGCAGAGCAGTAAGATGTCCTCCTGCTTATATTTTTGTACCCCTGCTTTGTAACAGGGTTTCTGGTATGTGGTAGCCTGTGCAATGTCTTTGCTATCACCCTCAAAATCATGATCTGACTAAGTAAAGTGCTTTCAAGTCACAACTATCTAATGGCCACTCCTCATGGGGTTTTCAAGGCAAGAGGTGTTCAGAGGTGGTTTGCCATTGCCTGCCTCTGTGTAGTGACCCTGGACTCCATTGGTGGTTTCCCATCTGAATACTAACCAGGGCCAACCCATCCAGGTCAGGGTGAAGTAAACATTTTACCATACTAAATGAATGAATAAGTCATTGTGATAAAGTGGCCAGAGTGTCAGTCTAGGAACTGGGAATCTCAGGTTTGAATCCCCACTCTGCCATCTTGGGCCTGTCACTCTCTTTCATCGTTAACTGTCTTCACAGGTCTCTTGTAATAAGATGAACCATGTTTTAGGCTGCTTTGGGTCCCCCACTGGATAGAACAGGTCTAAATATCTAAATAAAGGAGTAAAATGTTTGGCTGCTACAAAAACAAATGGCAACCATTTCCCCCCTTCCCTAATATCTCAAACAACCTGCCCTTTGTCCCAAGATTGTGATGTTGTGTATTTCCCATCTTCTGCCAGAAGCAGCTGATGATCCACAGAAACACATGGCATTGCTGAGATGTTACAGAGGAGATCCACAGAAACATATGGCATTGCTGAGATGTTACAGAGGAGATACACAGAAACACATGACATTGCGGAGATGTTACAGAGGAGGAGGATAGGATTAGAGGCACAGTTTTCTTTGGCACCTCTGTGCCGAATGCTAATGCCTACTTCCTACCTGAGATAACCCGCGTGACAAGCACTGAACTCTTAAGAAATGCTCTTCAGATGCTAAAGGTGACACTGCTGATGTTCTTCAGCCAACAAAGAACTTCCCACTGTAAGAAGACTGCCGTGCCTTTGTGTGTATTTGGCAGAGTGGACCCCCAGAAGTTCAGTAGACTGGAGTGGCTTTGAAGCTGGTGTTTGTTCCTGTTACAGTAGTAAAGAGCAAGAGTCCAGTAGCACCTTAAAGGCTAGCCACATTTGTGGCAGGGGATAAGCTTTTGTGAGTCACTGCTTGATCTGAAGAGATGAGCCATGCCTCACGAAAGCCCCTCCCCTGCCACAAATTTTGTTAGTCTTTAAGGTGCTCCTGGATGCTTCCTCTTTTCTGCTGCTGCAGACAGACTAACAGAGCTATCCGTCTTGATCTTTGTTCCTTTTGGTAGCTCTTCACAGCTTTGTCAGACACTTCTTTGCCCCCCCCCATGTGGATGGGTCAGCAAGGGACATTCCACAGACCCAGAATTTGCTGCCCTTGTTGGGAAGTTCAACAGAATTTTCCACCCTTGAGAAGAATCTCAGAAGGACAAGGCGACAGCCATTATGGTTGGGGGGGAGGCCCAGATGACATCTGTGTATGTTTCTTCCCCTCTATTACTCCTTCCTTAGGGGGAAAAAAATCCAAATTATTTGCAAACCTGAAAAAAGCAATGTCATGTGTTATGCAGTATTCCTGGGCATAAGTTGTATAGGTTTTTCTCTTATCTAGTTTATGGTTCCCCTTTTCCCACAAGGACCATTGTGCGTGGTGAGGTTTTCCTTCGGAAGCCCCGTGATTGCTGCAGTTGGCAGTGTAAGACAGTGGCAATATGGCTTCCTGATGGCAGATGTCCCTACATTTTGCTTGCCCCTGTCTTCGCAGCAGCCACCACGCCCCTTCCGGCCACAGGCCAGAAGGGTGCTTTTACTGAAGGTTTTTTTTTTAAAGACAAACAAACCAACCCTGTGATTGACATACAAATATGCCAAGAAACAGGAGGCCAATTGTCGATAATAAAAAAGCCTCAAAAAGTCCCCTTGTGACATGTGCACTTTCCAGGGAGGCTTCAGGGTAGCCTCTGTCTGCCACACTGGCTTTCTACGGGAGACTGTTCTCCTGTCCAAAGAGAATAGCCCCACAGGAAGCGCCCAGAACCAGTGGGTTCCCTCAAGCACCAAGAAGACAGAGCATCCCGTGCCCCAGAGTCCCTATCTATACCTTGTGGCTAATAGCCACTGATGGACCTCTGCTCCATATGCTCATCTAATTCCCTTTTGAAGCCGTCCATGCTTGTAGCCGCCACCACCTCCTGTGGCAGTGAATTCCAAGTGTTAATCACTCTTTGGGTGAAGAAGTACTTCCTCTTATCCGTTCTAACCCGACCGCTCAGCAATTTCATGGAGTGCCCACGAGTTCTTGTATTGTGAGAAAGGGAGAAAAGTACCTCTTTCTCTACCTGCTCTTTCCCATGCATAATCTTATAAACCTCAATCATGTCAATTATTTAAAAAGGACCCCCCAACCTCCTGTCTGCCTGGCCTACTCTGTTGCCCCCCCGGCTGGAGCAGGACAGTCTTGGGCCGCTCACTCTCACCCCAGCCTTACTCAGAAGTGCGCAGGGCTGCCTCCAGCCCATCTTGCTGGAACCCTTTGGGCGAGCAGCGAGTGTCTCTTACTGGCCCTGAGCCAGAGTGTGCTGCGCCAAGTGTACTGGTTGGGGGGAGGGCAGGTACCGCGAAACTGAATTTTAAAAGGATTAAGGTAAGGGAGGACTCGGGGGGGCAGGAGGGGCGTGGCAGATTCGGAGTGGGGCATGAGCCCCAGGGAGCCCCACCGTGGCTGTGGGCCAGCAGAGGGATAAGAATCCAAGACACCATTTACACAAAGAGGCTTCCCTTTTTGTATCCTTAATAGAAGAGGCAACTGCATATTAAGTCATGTCAGCTGGTCCTCATCCCACAGTCCCCCTTCTGGAAGTGCTGCTCCTCTTCCATCTGCCGGGAGTTGCCAACGCAGTGTGTGCATGCACGTACACGCACGCTTGCACACGCATATACTATAATGCCTTGCGCAGTTGTAGTTCTGGGTATAGCTGGAGGCTACAGTCACAAGAGACAATTCCTGAATCCAATTAGTCTCCCAAGAGAGACGGCTTCATTTTAACTCTGCATTTTTTATCCTGAAAACTGGGGTGCAAAGTCAGAATTTCCCATGAAAGTCAAATTATGACCTTTTCCATTTAGCAGATGCATCTGGAACGCTAATATATAGGCGCCAAAAAGAAAAGGACTCTTCTTTTCCTGGCTGCCTCCCCCTCCTTCAATGAGGCAGATATAACTTTTTAATTATTTGTTATGTTATTTATAGTCCACCTTTCTCACTTGGACTCAGGGTGGATTACACAGAGTGAGTCAATGCAGTCGACAGGATGAGATGTCCAAATGAACAATGCAATAGGATTAGGGTTGTAGAACCAACCAGGAATCTAAAAACCGAACTAAAGCAAAGCATAAGTAGGTAATACTTATTTAATACACATTGAATTATGCAAAATTACATAGTAGGATCCTACTTACAGCAAGCTGTACTGGAGACCACAGTTCCTAATCATTCATCCAAGTAACTCTGTGGGTCGTTTTGTACAACACAACCCTATCACCTGTGTAGAAAAGCCCTCTTGAATAATTTAGTTTTGCATAGTTTGTGGAAAGCCGTGAGAGCCTTCCTGACCTCCTTGGGCAGGCCATTGCATAAGGTGGGGGTTCACAACAGAGAAAGCATATGCACAGGCCATTGTTGATTTTGCCCAGGTAGAAGCTTCCTACCTGGACTGAAAGGCACACACGGTCTTTTGAAAATCTCCAAACATGGATGAACTTTCCAAGTTTTATTTGGTAAGAAGGTGGGGAGGTGGAAGACCATATCTACATTGTAGAGACAGGGATGTGAAACGTCTTGGGTGGCTGCCCTTCTCCAGTCCCGACCCAGTAAAGCCTGGTGGCCTCATCTTGTTACAGATTGTTAAGTGAGGACCTCGCACTCCATTGCAAAGTCCTTGTGTTTGTTGGTGAACGATATGAGGACTTTGTATCCCACGTGCGAGGAGAGTTTTGTGCCATTTCCCCGCAGTGGAGTTTTTGTCTGCTCAAAGCACCCGTGGAGCTTCTCCATTGTGAAATCACAGGACTTGCATGTCTACTCATCCTTTTGGTGATGGAGCCAGTGGTGGCACCACAGGCCAAATTAAGGACACGAAAGCAGAACGTCTCTTTCATGCATGCCATAGACATGAGCAGAAGAGCACCAGCGTGCATCTGGAAGGCACAAAACTCCTGTGCGCATGCGATGACGAAGTCGCATCAAGCAGCAAACATGAGGACTTCATAATGTTTAATGAGACCCTGAGTCTTGTTAGGGGAGGGGCTGTGGCTCAGTGGAAGAACCTCTGCTTGGCATGCAGAAGGTCCCAGGTTTGATCTCCAGTATCTCCAGCTAAAAAGGATCAGGCGGTAGGTGATGTGAAAGACCTCAGCCTGAGACCCTGGAGAGCTGCTGGCAGACTGAGTAGACAATACTGACTTTGATGGACCAAGAGTCTGATTCAGTGTAAGGCAGCTTCATGCATTCATATGTCCTGAGGCATATGATC